CCTTGAGGCCAGGATACTTAAAAAGATTCTCTAATCCTTTATATACCCAACTGATCACTGCAGTCTATAGGAGTCCATATTGTATGGCATAAGAATTGGGCTTTTAATGCAGTGGCACCTACTTTGGCCATCACATATCAGACTGGCACAGTCTATCTGGCAGCTGTGGAAGATTTTCCTTTTTCAACAAGCTGTTTTTATATACATTTTTTAATGTTGATGTTTTTATTGTTAAAGCGCTTTGAGACGTTTTTGGGAAGCAAATTCTAAAAAAACAAAACTGCTGGATTGTTTGTTTCTGAGGACCGCAACGCAGAGCTATTGTGAGGAGGTTCAGTGCTGAAAAAAACACAAGAATAATGTGTTTTGAATACTTTAAATGGATGAAAATGTAACAACATTAAGCTGCCACTGAAAAATCCCACTAGAATTTTGACAAGTTTGTTATTTGTACTTTAGCAACACATTTGGTGGATTTAGATTTTTAAAAATAGGCACATTAGAACAATACAGTGGTACCTTGGTTTAAGAACAGTCCAGTTTAAGAACAATTTGATTTACAAACTCCGCAAAACCGGAAATAGTGTCTTGGTTTGACAACTTTACCTCGGTCTAAGAACAGAATCCGAAAGGTGGAAGGGCACCGGCGGTGGCAGGCCTCATTAGGAAAATTGTGCCTTGGTTTAAGAACGGTTTTGGATTAAGAATGGACTTCCGGAATGGATTAAGTTCGTAAACCAAGGTACCACTGTACTAGTCTGTCTCTGTAAAGAGATATATATATAGGGCCCAATTTACAATGTGTGGTGTTTTTAGATATACATTAAAAAAAATTGTAATACCTTTTGTGCAGAACAAATGCAATACATTTTTTACTGATTTACTATAGTAATTATATTCAGCATGTAAAAAAACTTAATCATTAATGATGGTGATCCACCCTGCAGCTAAAAGGCAGACATGAATCATAATAAGAAATTATAAGAACTTAATAAGAGGATCAGGGCAGTGGCAATTTAATCTAGCATCCTGTTCTCACAATGGACAACCAAATGTTTATAGGAAGCCTGAAAGAAAGACAACAACACTCTCCCTACTTCTGATTCCTAGCAATTGGCATCCAGAGGCATATTGCTTCCAACCAGGGAGGTAGAGCATAGTCATTGTGACTAGTCAAAACACATAAATCATGATGGATGCTCCAGCAGTTCCCACACATTATCTTCTCTATCTGTAATACTGTGTATTTAATTACACACCACACCTTTATTTCACACTTGCTCCAAAGATGTGACGGGGTTAATTTTATCCTCACAATATCCCTGTAATGTTAGCAAGCTACTTGGAAAATAAACTCCTGGCAACATGCACGACAGAAGCTGCCATTGTAGTAAAAGTTTATTCTCCCAAAATACTATTCTTGCTTGGTATGTACCATATGTAAGTTTTATGAAATATGCAAGTTTTATAATATAATTGTCCAGAAGATAATAGCTGTAATTCACACAATTTAGATTTTTTAAAAATATAACTGTTTCCAAGTTTGAAATGGGACTTTTTGTGATAACTGTGAACGAAAAACAGAATCAGTTGCCTGGTCACCTCTAAGACGCTAATGCTTCATCTGAATGATCCAAATCTATGTGTGAAAATCATAAAAATATCACTTTAAAGAAAAGTACTTCAATATATATATTTGGAGGGGGCGTAGAATAAAATATTAAGATAACTTACATTGAAGATCACTTGATAACTTTTAGTGATCAATAGAAGATACATTTGGATCTTCTCAGAATCCTGCAGTTATCTGTGAAGCCCAATTTGTTCTGTGCAACAGATGCAGGAGAAGCCAAAGTTCCACCATGTATGGACAGTAAGTTGTTAGGGTGACAGGTGAGTCTAGATGCACCACACAAGTGAGATGCATTTGTTTTAGCAGCATTGATCAGTACTCCCTGGAGACTCTAACACCACTAGATTATAATAATTCAAATCCCTAAACAATGTGGTAGGCTTTCGTCAGCAATTCCTTTATCAATACATCTGGTATAGTAGTGAAATATATCTGCTGTCAGGACCAACAACATAACGACTGCAAAGCCTTTTGCAACGAAAGTTGCTCTCTAACTATAAGCAAACCTGAGGAGTTAATCTATACTAATGAAGTAAGGAAGGGGAGGAGGGAGTACAAGATAAAGAATAATGTATGCATTGCCTGACAGCTTTGTTTGGAGGGTGTTGGTGGTAAAACTGATTATCTGCGAATATATTTACTTTCAGATATAGAAGGTATTTCAGAAATAAAAAAGAACTTCCCCGTGACAAAATGAACCTGTATGTCACTAGTAGCTGCCATATCCAGTTAGCAAGGAGGTCAATGATCTACTTGTAAGCCGTATATGCCTGCCTGTGAAGTTTCACTCTCACTAATCCCTGCGAGTGTAGGGAGATCTGCAGTTTCATCCACCTGCACTGATGCACTGTAATTTCAGATATCTTTTCTTTTTCATCTTGTCATATGTGGCATGTTAACACTTCCCAAAAGCACACAGAAAAAGCCAAAACAGTACAGCCTCCTTGAAAAGAGTATACCTTATTTTATCCCTCACTTATGAAAGTGTCTTAATACCAAAAGCGTAAGGGGCAGAGAAAAGCATTAATAAATGCAAGGATTTTGCAAATGCTTTGATTTAAAACAACAAAACAATTGTTATAAGCTTTGGCTTTGAAATACCTTATCCCCATCATGAGCCCAAAGGGAAGCATTTGATTATTTAACCTGAAACAAGCCATCTGCACATTTGAGCAGTATTATTATTTATAAAGCTTTGTAAGTGTCTCCTAATTTAATAATATATTGTTTTTAAAGTGTTCTGACCTGCTTAGGAAGCCTTGCTGAAAGATGGACTAAGACTTTAAAAAAATAAATACATACACTAAGCACTTGAAAAATGAATTGAGAGTAATTAAAATAAGGATCTGATCTTATAAAAAGGATATTGACTCATTTCATAGCTTATTTTACAGAATGTCTGTTCTGGATAGGTTTTCTGGTGTCTTATTAGTTTTTGTTTACAGTGGTAACTTGGGTTACATACGCTTCAGGTTACATATGCTTCAGGTTACAGACTCCGCTAACCCAGAAATAGTGCTTCAGTTTAAGAACTTTGCTTTAGGATGAGAACAGAAATCGTGCTCCGGCGGTGCGGCAGCAGTGGGAGGCCCCATTAGCTAAAGTGGTGCTTCAGGTTAAGAACAGTTTCAGGTTAAGAACGGACCTCCGGAACGAATTAAGTACTTAACCCGAGGTACCACTGTATTTAAAATACAAAACATTACATCCATGGGGAATCCTTCTGAAGATCTCATGTTTGGAGTTAAGGATTTTGGAATTGTCCAAAGCTCTTGCCATGTTTCTTTGATAATGCATCTTGAATAGTTCAACTTACCTTTATAAAAATAGTGTAGTACGTATGAATTATGTAGTGCATTATCTGGCCTTTCCTTCAAGGAGCAGTGTACTTGCTCTGACTGCAGTGTTACCCTCACAATAACCCTGTAAGGCAGGTAGGGGGAATCTCAGGCCTACGGGCCAAATATATCCTTCCAAGCCTCTCTATCTGGCTCCTGAAATTCTCTCCCCCCCCCACTCCACCCCACTTGTCATGCTTCACACCCTCTTTGAGTGCATTTGCTTGGCTGGAATGTGCCTTGAACTCTGTTGATTCTTCTTGCTTCCTTGGATGTAGGGCGGAGAGGGATATGTGTGTAAAAACTAGTCTATGGCACACACACACAAAATGCATTCATTGTTCTGACCAGTTTTGCCTCTGCCCCCATTCCACTACTAGCCCATGGTGCCCAGAAAGAAAAGGCTTCCCTACCCGCGCGGGTGGCGCTGTGGTCTAAACCACTGAGCCTAGGGCTTGCTGATCAGAAGGTCGGCAGTTCGAATCCCCACGACGTGCTGAGCTCCCGTTGCTTTGTCCCAGCTCCTGCCAACCTAGCAGTTCGAAAGCACACCAGTGCAAGTAGATAAATAGGTACCGCTCCGGCGGGAAGGTAAACGGTGTTTCCGTGCACTGCTCTGGTTTCGCCAGAAGCGGCTTAGTCATGCTGGCCACATGACCCGGAAAAACTGTCTGCGGACAAATGCCGGCTCCCTCGGCCTGTAAAGCGAGATGAGCACAACAACCCCAGAGTCGTCTGTGACGGGACTTAGCTTTCAGGGGTCATTTACCTTCTACCTTTTTACACTTGCTGTTACTATTTCTCCACCTAAGATCATGTGGTAAGATTCATGGCCTTGAATCCATGTTTCCTTGGTCTAACACCAACATTCTATCCAATATACCCATTACTCCATAAACCTCATAGTTGAGGAGGTAAGCTGGAGAAAATATCTAAGCGTCTATTTTAAGAAAACACAGAAGTAGCCAGTCAACAGGCACTGAAATGGCACTAATTGAGTCTTCTAAGCCTATGATTTCCAACTATATCAAGCAATAAAAAAACTGAACTAGGTAGATTAACAGAGGCATGTTTGGGGGCTATGCGGATTGTGATAAATATCAGAAATAGTAATAATAATAAATATAGAATTATCTATAGCACTCTGTTTCTGATGTCATCCCCAGCAACAAGTTATGTCACTATTTTAATATTAAATGTGTGTCATGATTTGTTTTTCAAGTTATGTTTTGCATGCTATTGCATCATGAGAAGAATATTCTCATAGCAAGGAAAAGCAACTGACCTTTCTACATGATACACACACACACACACACACACACACACACACACACACCTTTTATTTATTTAACTTATAAAGATAACTTATAAAGATTTATAAATAAAATACACCATCCTCTATCTTAACAACTAACACATGGTGTTGTTTCAGATGCCGCTTAAAGAAATTGAAGCTGCATATGGAAGGTATCCAGGAGGCATGAATTTTCCCCTTAGTGAACTAGCTTTTCATAAAAAAGAAATCTTACCGAATTGATCCAATCATGTAAGGCTGTGCCAACTGCACTACGATAGCACCACTGCCTAGCTGATGGCATGTATACCCAGAATCCCAGTCGTAGTTCTTTGTGTCTCCATTCAGCAAGGCATTGCGACTTCGGCTTACGCCCTCAATCACACTGGCACAGTCTGCAACAGTTGCAACGTTCTCAGTGGGAACTGAAAATTAAAATACAAAAGAGATCAAAAGCAGGCACAGACAACCATCCATTTCTATTTCTGGGGAAGAATAAAAATAAGCAGGAACACATGGGCTGATGATTCAGAGCATAGATTAATAATGAATAAGAATGGGAGAACTGTCTGAACCAGGGCAGGCCAGAGAACCTTTAACTCCAAAGCAGCCCTAGAACAAAATTATGGATTGCAAATAGGTATTTAGACAGGTTAATATCATAGCAATTGTTTTGCTGAAAGCAGACAACCTCAATATTAGGATCAACATGGAATTGTGGACCAGGACAGGAATGGCAATGCACTTTTTTGTTGTTGTTGGCACCCGTCTGTCTTGAGAGACAATGGAGTGCACCTCTAGGGGTGAAGTGAATCCACTGTGTTAGCAGCACCAAAGTGGAAAACGCCCTGGGGGTGCCTGCAAGCCCCCAGAATTCTGAGCGTTCTCCGGTACACACAGCTCTGGAAAAGACATCTCCCTTCTCTTCCAATGCGCTTCTAGCGACATATACCAGATGGTATATGCACTCTACACTTCTGGCATAACACAGCAAGAAGCGTGAGACATCGCAGAGCTAATCTACTATTTGTTTACACACTATGTACAGACAAAAGCATAATGGCATCCGTTCTCTCCAGCTCCGAGAGAACAAAAAGCACAAGTAAAAGTGAAAGTACATTACAAAGTACATACAGCGGAAGAGATAAGACTGTCTTCCATTTCCCACACTCTTCTCTGACAGGTATGTGATTTACAGCAATCACAAATGCAGCATTGGAGGAGTGAAATAGCTAACACTCTCCAGGGTGCAGGCCTGGGTGGTGTGTATGGAGGTCCTGGGTTGCCCAGATGATGACTCCCTTTTGGCCTCACTGATGTGGTCCAAAGGAAACCAGAGTAATATTTTTGGCACCAGCTTGGCTGCAGGAGTTGCCGGAAGCAGGCGTACAAGATGCCAACCAACCTTCTAAGGAACTCCTAATGCACAGTGACTAAAAAAAGCAGTGGTACTGTCAATAAAGCAGCTACAGCATTGGGCAGTACAGTGGTGCCTCGCAAGACGAAATTAATTCGTTCCGCAAGTTTTTTTCTTTCTTTGCGGAGTTTTTCGTCTTGCGAAGCACGGTTTCCCATAGGAATGCATTGAAAATCAATTAATTGTTCTATCTTTGGCGAGCTTTTCTCCCCTGCAGTCTTGCAGAAGGACTCACGGCTGGGAGAGGGTTTTTTCCAACATTAGAAGCATTGAAGTTGGCATGAAACCCTTCTCCCACCCCAAGTCTTCAGGACAGCCATCCGAAGGCTGGCGCGGGGAGAAGGTCTCTCCCCCCCCCCGCCAGGCTTCGGAGCAGCCTTCCGAAGCCGGGCGGCGGGAGGAGGTGTTCCCGCCCCGCCGCCCGGCTTCGGAGCTTGGTTCCGATGCCGGGCGGCGGGAGGAGGTGTCCCCGCCCCGCCGCCAGGCTTCGGAGGAGGTCCGAGGACAGCGGGGAAGACGCGCTGCGCTTCCCTGCTGTCCCGGAGATTTCCCTATGGGCTTTCATCTTGCGAAGGAAGCCCATAGGGAAATTTGTTTTGCGAGGCACACCCTTTCGTTGGCACTGCTGTGCCTCGCAAGTTTTAGATCTTGGTTAATTGTTCCGGCCAAGTTTTTTCCCCGCTACTTTAGTTTTTCGGTAAGTTGCGAGGCACGGCTTTCATTTTGGAAAATCATTTAAGGATCATCGGTAGTCCAGCCTTTCTGGTCACCTGTGGGTCCCCCAGATTGTGTGTTTGAATTTCAACGGCCCATCCACCCCTGCTAGCAGAGGGCCAGAGCTCAGGGATGGATGGGAGTTGTAGTCCAACAACATCTGGGACCCACAGTTGAGAAATCACTGATCTAGTCCAACCCCTGAGCAAGGCATATGCAGCTGTCCCTTACGGGGATCAAACCTGCAACCTTGGGATTATCAGCACTGTGCTCCAACCAACTGAGTGATCCAAGCTGGAGGAGGCTCAGTAGACTCTCTGTGTAAATGTGTAATAGGTGTTTTCTAGTGCTTCAGCTGAAGTTCAAGAATCATAGAATTGTAGAGTTTGGAGGGATCCCAAGGGTCAACTAGTCCAACCCCCTGCAATGCAGGAATCTCAGCTAAAGCATCCAAGACAAACAGCCATCCAACCTCTGCTTAAAAACCTCTGAGGAAAGATAGTCCCCAACCTCCTGAGGGAGCAGACGTTATTTTCATGACTTTTATTCCTGCTTCATGTGTTGCAGTCACGATCATCATGGAAGCCGTCCACTACATGAGCCCTTTTGTCTGATGTTACTATAAAGTACACCAACATTATATGTGTGTCTTTCCAAAATGTTTTCAACCATGGAGAACTTGAAGCTAATGCTTCACAAATCCCTAATTACATAAGCAACTAGGAAATGGAAATGCTGTGAATCCTTTAGTACTGAGACCTGAATTATGTTGCTATAGTCTGACATAAGCCGACAGTGAAGAAAAAGTTACTTGGGTCTACCACCTTTCCTGGTAGACAAATGTCTCCCTTACAAAAATGTTTTGTCCCCAAACACCTAGATAGTTCCACTGTTTTTCTCCTGATCCATCCTCAGACCTATTTTGCATTTTGCTCCTGCAGACTTGAAATAAATAAATATATCTACATTTCCTCATATTCATCTCTTTCTTGCCTCTCTCTGATCCTTCTCTTCCCTCTTGTAATTCCTCCCAATTCATTTTATTCTATTGCATAAAGTGTTTATGTAGTTATTTTTTAAAAGTCTCAGCCCATCTTTCAACAACAAGGCTCCCTAAGCAGCGCAGAACAATTTAAAAACTATATACAATAAAATCAAAACACGCTTATGGAGCTTTATAAATAATAATATCGCTCAAATGTACAGATGGCTTGTTTCAGGTTAAATAATCAAATGCTTCCCTTCGGGTTCATAATGGGGATAAGGTATTTCAAAGCTAAAACCTGTAACAATTGTTTTGTTGCTGTTTTATATCAAAGCATTTGCAACCAATATTTTCTTAGCCCATCAAGATTTAGCACTCTGGAATTTTTGTAGTATTCAGTAGCTCGTATGTATTTTAGGACGTTACTCACAAATTAATTTATTCCAATTTACTGATGTGCATATTGGTTTTAAGGATGTGTTCTTAAAATCTGGTTTAATGTTTATTTATTATATAATCCATTTCAACACAAATGCTATTTATTTTATTTATTTACCAAAGCAATTGTTCAACTTGTCATTCTCTAATAAAGTTCTTGATATATACTGTATTAATGATTTTGTACTGTTTTGCACACTGGGAAATTAGACAGCAATCAAATAATTGCAATGTACAGAAAGTACCATGTTGTTTCGGCTCCCAAGGGAAGGCTGCCACTCCCCATTCTGAATGTTCATTATCGTCTTTCATACCCGCCTGATAAATTTATTTAAAACACCATCTGGAAGGGACTTTGCTCTGTGCTGCATTTTCAGTCTTTTGGTTCCCTTCTCCTATCCCTGAGGAATTTCTGCCTCTATTTGTGTCACTTTGTTTATAAAAGTGGATTGCCAAAACCAACAGTATCTTGTTTCTATGTTTTTCTGCATTTTTCTTCTGTCCTTCAACTAGCTAAGTAATGCGTGCTGCAAGAGAAAAGAAAAATAAGAATGGGACACAAGGTTGAAAATTACTGTTCTCATTCTTTGTGCACGTAACAGTTCTGCCCAAGTTTAGCATATTGTTGCCATAGAATGTAAAATGATACATGCTAACAAAATGCAGACATTCTGGAAGCAAGCAGAATTTTAAAATGGACCAAGGCAGAAACAGCAGCGGGAACCGCAGGGGGTGAGGGAGAAGGATATGATTTGTGTGTTACTCTTCCTGACTCTTATCCTGTAACAGGTTATGGCCAACAGATTGCCAATATATTTGATTTTGACACAAAAAAAGTTTTAAAAGGCAGTGTTATTTCCAGGACATGACCTAAAGACTATCTATATTAACTATACTTGAAGATAAGATGACATGTAATTTTACTGTCTCCGATGATACCTGATGAAAAACGAGTGAAGGGAAAAATTGCGCTCAGGCATATATCTTCTCCTGAGTATTTTCCACCTTAGTTTCTTTTTAATATGACTACTTTTTAAAAGTCAGGGGATGTTATTTGACTCAGGATCACTGGCGTTACAACTGCTAAACCCAATTTGTAGGTATCCCCTCACTATTATTCAGCCACACACAAAGAGAACCCCAATGGCAGTACTTATTCCTTGTAACAAATTACAAAATGTTAAAGTAGAGCACTCGTGTTATTTTTTTAATGTCTGTGGGTAAAAATAGATGCAACAGAGACAACCATGTTTGTTGATTCATATGCCGGTCCAATTCACACATACAAAAAAACCAAAAACATGAAAAGCAGCATGCAGGTTAGGGGATCTGAACCTTCACCCCCTGCATTTTAGGAACATTGTAAGCTGCCTTTCACCAAGTCTGCCCATTTATACATCTAGTGAATATTAGTTTGTCACGTTAAAGTAAGACATAAACACTGCTTTTCGCTTTATGCATAAACAGGGATACACATGAACAAGAAACATTATTTTCCTATCATGTCTAGTTTGACCGTGTCTTGGCAATAAAATCCATGCTGCCTTTGGAAGTGGAGATGGGAGTTTATCCTAGACTCTTGAGTTACTGAAATCGAGTACAAAGGCAGTCCTGTTAGTCCTTAAGAAAAACTTCCAAATGCCACAGTTGAACAGTACCTTTAATCTAAGATTTCTGCATTCTTAGGGAAGTAAACAAAAGATCAGTTTAGATAGCATCAATACATTTACCACAAAGCAGTCTGAGGAAGGTCTGTCTGCCATTGAGTATGTTGTAGCAACTTTAGGGATAGGTGCATCCATTTCTGGCTCTGTGAGATCTAGATTAAGTGCCAAGTATGGCTCCCTGGCTCCCAGTCATACATTCAAGTC